TTTCCTTCGCTGTGTTTTTCTATCAATTTTAGAGTTTGTCTGGGTGTCATAACATCAGAACTGAAATTTAATTTCTGCATTTGTCATTAATTTCTGATATTTGTGCCTACGAATTGTATCATTATGAAGTCAGTTTTCCCAATTTATTTGAACTTTTCTATTATCTGACAGTAAAAGTTTATTCCAAGGGATGAATAGTTACTTCTTCATTTTTCTTTGATGCTGCGGTAATCTCTTTATTTGGATGTAGCATTTTTGTGCTGCCACTTGTATGCTATCAAATTTATCACCGTGCAATTTTTTGTGGAAGGTAGACAATGAAACACCAGGATGGACTCAGCTGAAGCTTCCAGGTCAGGCTCCTTCACCCCGTTGTGGACACACCATTGCTTCAGGAGGGCCCTATGTAATAATTTTTTTTCCTTCATGTGTGGTTATTGTATTTAACTTATGTGCATAGAATGTTAAAATTACAGAATGTGATTATAGTCTTACACTGTACTTCGAGGAGGCTACATGGGTTCTCAACTTCCAGTAGCTGGGCTTGTTGAGTGCTACAATATCTCTTGTTGAGTAGTTCACTGGAGATTGATTAATTTTTAAGCCTAAGCCTGTCAGCCACTTTCAAGTGTGAGGCCATTTGAATGAACATACTTCTGTTTCAACTTGTTAATATAAGATAGTTATGTAAACTGTTACTTCCAATAATTTTATCAAGCATGTTGTACATATGCAGCTTCATCATGAAGCTACTTAGGCTATGTTTGGTAAAAGTAGCTGATAAGCTAGTTGATAGCTGAGAAGCTAGCTTATAGCTTATAAGTGATTTTCATGCTTATAGCTTATGACCTATAGCTGAAAAACTAGCTTATATGATAAAAGTGTTTATTAAAATTAACTGATAAGCTAGCTGAAATAAAAATTTCAACGAGCTTATTTGAAAAGCTTATGAGATAAGCTCGAGCTTTTTAAAAAAACTCGTCCTAACAAACAAAATTTATTTAAATACATGAAGCTTATAATCTAACCAAATATGCTATAAGCAAGCTTATTTGATTACCGAAAATAGCCTTACTAGATTATTCAAAAAAAGTCATTTGCTTTTGCTATCTGAGTACTGAGTGGCAGAAACAAGTTTCAATTACCGTATCATTTTGTTTCATTTGCTTGTGTTTCATTTATGTCATGCATGTTATAACACCAGTATTTTTGCTTGCAGCTTTTGTTATTTGGAGGGCACGGAACTGGTGGTTGGCTGAGCCGTTATGACATATACTATAACGACTGTGTTGTTCTAGACAGAGGTGCATGTTCTAGTATCTTCTTAGTTATTATTTCCTTCTGCTTGGTTGAGTTGTTAGTTTCGAGTCCCAAGTCTCGTCCAAGTTACAAAGATGGTCTACGCCTTATTGCACAAGCATTAGTTAAGATGAGGATAGGTTTCGCTACAATGATGTTCGATGATGTGTTGGGGATAGTACGAAAGAAAGAGTAAAAAGGTTGATGTGATTGTGCCTGTAATGCGGCATTTAATTATATTATCATTAAATCTTTTAGCTTAGAAACTCATGCTTATTCGGTCAAAAAGTAGTTATACTGTTATTGAATATTGATTATGCTTGCCTTATAGTAACATAGTTCGCAAACTGTCACGTAGTGGAGCTTGTTATGATATCTTAATTATGTTTAGTTAATACGAAATCTGAACAGAGCAACTTATGTGTTCAAAAGTTCTTAGTGTACAGGGACGAGACATTCATGATAGTAGTGGAAGTAAGTGATTAAGATCCTCAACAGTAAGTTACATGTTTCTGTAAACTGTTTCTGTAATTGCGTGTAGTGTCTGTAAATTGGAATGCGGGCAATGAATTAAATTTCCTGGTTTATATGAGAATCAGTTTTGACAATTTACTTTTTTTTTTTTGGTAATTTCATCTAGTGTCTGTGCAGTGGAAACTATTGCCTACCAGAAATGACCCCCCAGCTGCTCGAGCATACCATTCCATGAACTCTGTTGGTTCACGGTATTTATTATTTGGTGGCTTTGATGGAAAATCAACTTATGGTGATCTTTGGTGGCTTGTACCCGAAGGTATTTTCCACTTCCTCCTCTCTCTAATTTTTGAGATTTGTTATACTTCAAATAGAAGAACGGATCTTATTTTATTAAATAATTAATTGTGCTCTGGACTCGTAGGGTTAGAATATCCATTATAGTTATGACTCTTTAAGTAGAAATCGAGTTATCAGTTAGCATTATCTTTTGTTGAAGTGGGATATTATCTCATTAATTTGAGTTGTGTATTAACTGAAGGTCTTGTAAATAGTATAATGATTTTTGGTGCTTAGTTTGAATATGCCATGCATACATGAATCTCTGAAAGAGATGAAACTGCCTTTTACCTTTAGCTGAAATTTGTTTTAATATATGATAGGTACATTGTAAGCATAGTTCGTTATTTCTTATGCACCTTTATGTCTGTTCTTCCTTAATGCCTCCAAATTTTGTGAGAAAAGATGAAAGTTTCTTAAATTTCCTTTACATGGACGATTTTTCATGCGCTGTGATAAAATAGTGATTGTATTGATATGTAACTTTTTTACTGTCCACGGTTACAGATGATCCAATTGCTAAGAGGTTTACCGAAAAGTCTTCATCTGAAATTGTTGCTGAGGGGAACAGCACAACATCAGAGACAAAGGTGTCATGTGAAAATAGTCTTTTAAGTTTTTCGGCGAGTTCATCTTCTTGAGAAAGATTTGTTTGAAAAAACCACATCAAAATATATTCCTTTCAATTTTACTTCATTCTCAAAAAAAGAAAAACAAAAAAAAGGTAAAGATTTTATGTAGATAGTACTCAAACAAAGAGAGAAATAAGAGCTAAGCAAAGCACCTTCAAGTTTTTGACCCAATGGCAATGCAGTAATATGGGAAAAATCTGATTATCAAAATCAATAATGTATTCTTTATGTACTAATACTCCATTGCAGGAAGGCCTAAGAGAAGGATCTTCCCTGTCTGAGTTGCAGAAAAAACTGGGAATTCCACACATAATTTCCAGTCCTGAGCTTGTCATTGACGAATCGGAAGACAGACAACTCATCGAACTAGCCTCAAGAGTTGTTGATGCAGTGGAGTTCACCAGCATGCAGGTTTTCAAATATCTTCTCTTCACTTGATTCTAGCAATGCCGCTTGTAAAGCTCTTTCTATTAGCAGGTCAATCGGAGCAGGAGCATATTTTCATCGCAAAAGTCAAGTTTCGAAACAAAAGTTTGAGTAATCAAAAACTCTATGGAAAATAGTAAATAGAGACCAAAATAGAAAAAATAAGTCAATGTGTCCGTAAAAACTTGATATCAAACACAACATCAACAATTGATGTGGATAACATATTTTCATCGCAAAAAGAAAGTTTTGAAACAAAAGTTTTAGTTTTTTTTTTTTAAAAAAAAAAAACCA